TCACCCTGGCAAAATCACTAACATGAAGGAATTTGATCTTGCTTCCCTCGAAACCAGATCAAACAAACAAATACCCCTCCCCAAATGGACAATTGCCAAGGCTTGTCACCTGGGCTTCGGGGCCAAAGTAAAGCTTTACAGTTCTCGGGCATGTCTGCTTTCCTCCGTGCAACTATATGGTGTTTGCCGCAACCCCTAAACCTGGGGATTTCATCTTTTTGCGGCTGTCACAAACCCTTAAGAGGGCCGAAAAAGGGTATCCACTGGATCTCAGCTACCCCTTAAAATAGGTAACAAGCCATTTTCCCGATAGCTTGAAAGGATGGTTCCCTTGGTTTCCTATTCTACAGGTACATGGATCCGCTAGCTTAGACATTTGCAGTGCCACGCTTTCGTTGGAATCCAAATACCTCTGCCCCTGGCTGAGTCGCCCTGCCAGGATCGCGGACCTTCAGCGCGATTGCCGCGATCGACAGTCCCCCAGCCCGAGCTGCGCGTGCTTGCCCAGTGATGGGAACCCGGGATTGATGCTACCCGGCAGATTGATGAGGGACCCAAAAAGTCATCCATGTCAATGGACACCTCATTTGGCGACTTCTCTTTTCGGGCTCAGAGGAGTAAATTCTGGGTGGGGTGATAGCGAGGCATATAGATATGAATCATAGCCCTTTCTGGTACCAAAATCGGCAATCCCCATGACTTGTCACTTTCCAGGGGATTGAATTTGTATCACAAGGTGAGACGAAAACCCACTGTTTCAAGAAACGAACTTTCACTTTTTAGCGGGAACACCCCCTAAGTAACCCAATCTATGCGCTTAATCAATCTGGCTTCCCAAATGAAGTTGCTCAAAATAGAAGACCCTCAAAAAGGATGTGCCCATAGTCTCGCTTTCAGGAATTCTCCAAAGGGCACACACGACTTTCAAGCGCCCCCATGATCAGGAGAAGCTCCCGGAGGCAGGCGCCGGGACCCTAGAAGCTTGCACGTGCCTTTGTGACTCCCGTTTTGTCTATCCTTGAACACAGCATGAAAGAGACCAAGGAGTCCCATCTTAAGCGTCAAAACTGGGCTGGTCTGGCGTCAGTTGCCCATAAGGGCTGATCCAGACCGCCAATTAACGACTTGGTGCTAATAAACACTCATCATCCACACGGAAACAAACAAAGCCCCCTCGCCCAGGCGGCCCCGGCAGCTTGTCTGCCGGGACCTCCATAAAGACTTGGGCCCCGCTGTTCCTTGGCAAAGAAGGCCGGATGTATGCATATGTATACATATATGTATATATATATATACATGTGTCTGTATGTATATACGTGCAGAGGGGCTCATTCTTGCAGAGTCTTTTTTGGTGCTCAATGAGAAATGAAAGGGGGACCACCCTTCAAGGCTCACCCACGTATATACATGTACGTATATCTATATATACATGCTACCCTCCCAAGCCCGGCACTTATGCCAAAGTGGTTTTTGAGGAAATCACCTATATATATATGCATATCTGTCGGGGACCCTTCTTTGTGTTTTCAAACGGAAACAAAAAGGGAACTCACACACACACACACACACACACACACACACACACACACACACACACACACACACACACACACACACACACACACACACACACACACACACACACACACACACACACACACACACACACACACACACACACACACACACACACACACACACACACACACACACACACACACACACACACACACACACACACACGCACGCACGCACGCACGCACGCACGCACGCACGCACGCACGCACGCACGCACGCACGCACGCACGCACGCACGCACGCACGCACGCACCCACACACACACACACCACACAGGGTCACTACACACACAAATATATATATATATATATATATATATATATGTGTACATAAGTATATATGTGTAGGTATGTAGGTATGTATGTATGTATGTGTGTATGTATGTATGTATTTGGGCGTCTTTTTTGAAAGCCAGTTTGGTTTGCAAGGGAAACACAAGGGAATCCACCCTTAACGACACATGCATATCATCTCTATATACATGCTACCCTTCACAACCCGGCATCGATGATCAAATGGTTGACATATATGGAAACGCTGCTATGTATATAACCATGTGGGGAACCCCGGCTTGGTGTTCAAAGGTAAACACAAGCATTTGTGTTGATCACATGTTGGTTTCCAAAGAAAAACAAAAAGGACCTTAGCGACACATACATGTGTATATATATATACACACATACGCTATCCTCCAACGCCCAGCATCTATGTCAAGCTGGTCGACAGTTCAGGGGCCACCTATATGTGTGTGTATATGTATATATACATCCGTCAACATTGCTCGGCGTGTCGGATACCTAAGAGAGGATCGAGGAACCTCCCCCTAACCCCCCGGCCCGACGTCTGATACGTGGGGGGGGGGGTTGCGCTTGGTCCCGCGCGGCAATTTGATGACGTTCCGCCAAAAAGAATCTTCGAGGAGCCGGTGACGATCAGGAAAGTTTTCTAGTTTTCTATGTAATCGTCAAATCTTCAAAAATACTTGCAAGTGCTTCGCAACCCAGTGAAACTCTCGAATTCTTAGACACACTTTCAAGTGCTTTTGGCGAGCTTTTTGCTTCGTGTGATATTTAAGTGCTGGTGTCAACGGCTACATGAATTACGTTCGTATTAAATTATGTTTACAACTTACCCTTTTTAAACTTGATGGTCAAAGGTTAGTTGATTTGTACCAGAAACCCAACATTAACGTTGCAACGACTAAAATCTCTGGGCTCTAGATTCATCATCCCTAAAAGAACTAACCTGGGCCCTGGAGGGGGCGTGCGTTACACACGTTTTCGTTCCCTCGTTTGCGCAGGGCGCCGCTCGTTTTGTCTGCGGCGAGGCCGTGTGCTTCGCACGTTTTCGTTTGTCGTTGCGGCAGGGCGCCGCGTGTATTTTGTTTGCGGCGAGGGCGCGTGCCTCAGGAGTCGACTGCGCGCGGCGAGCTCGCTTCGTGGTGGACGCTGGCTTCCTCGCAGCTGCGGGTGGTGCGGCCAGCGCAGCTGGGCCGCGCAAGGCACCCAAAGTGGTGGCTGTGGGAGTCGAGTGACCGGGCGCCATGCTTGCAGTGAAAATATGACTTCTTAATACATCATGCGGCGATGCCGCGTGCAATCGACAAAGGTACTTCTATATCAGATATATGTAAATTATATATTGAATAATCTCCAAATCCACTCAATTTTCGGAAAGAACTAGCCTTTTTTCGCACGCTCCTGGCTCTGGACACTGAAACACGCAGTTTGGTCTCATAGGGTTTATCTAGGGTTTGGGATTTTTAGGGTTTAGGGTTTAGGGTTTGGAATTTTTAGGGTTTAGGGTTTGGGGTTTTTAGGGTTTAGGGTTTAGGGTTTGGGATTTTTAGGGTTTAGGGCTTAGGGTTTGGGACTTTTAGGGTTTAGGGTGTAGGGTTTAGGGTTTATGGATGGATGATGGATGGATGGGTGGATGGGTGGCTGGATGGTGGATGATGGATGGAGGTTGTGGATGGATGGATGATGATGGAATGGAATGAATGGATGGGTGGAGTTGGAGGGATGAATGGGTGGATGGATGGGTGGATGGATGTGTGGATGGGTAAATAGAGGGTGGCCGTATTGGTGCTGGGTGTGGCGCAGAGGGAACGTTTCACAAGGCGCTTGGCTGCAAGAGTGGTTGGGTGTTGAGGACTCTCTGCTCTAAGGCACACTTTTTTACCTCAGCCGGAGGCCTGGGAAATGGAAACAATGACTAAAACCTGTGGTCCCTGGTGGTTCAATTTTGACCCATACCCTTGCTTTTGCCTAGGTCCTGCAGTAGAGCGGCTAGAGTAAGGGTGCCAACTTTTTTCTGAATTTGTAGGGGAAGCCTCCCCCAACAAAAAGGGTAAAAGGGCATTAGTGGGGGACCTAGACTGGGAAAACACATTCTCGCTTCTATGGAATCCTTAAGCGGGGTAGGTACACGGGGCGGGTAGTTGAGAGCTGTCGTCAGGGTTTCCTCGACAACTTTAGGGAATCCTTGCCCCCGTCCTAACACTTGCGCAAAGGACCCACAAAACAAAGGCGATCACTTCTTGAGGCTATGGCTAATGGACCAAAATTGGGAGAACACCCTCGAAAAGGAAGCCCGTTGAGGAGGTGAGTTCAACAACTGGGCTCAACCACGGCGAAAAGAAGCAACACCACATGGCTCTGGAATTGGAAAGTGGGTTGCCTAAGAATCGGGCGTCGTCACCGAGTTTGCTACAGGTGTTTCTTTTGAGATTCAACCGGAACCCTCGTATGCTCATCACCATCCCCATTTGCATCCAGCATCATCATCCAGCATCATCATTGTCATCATCCTCGTGATCATCATCATGGTGATCATCAAACTAGGTTGATCCTGCAAGTAGCTTCGATTCTCATCATGGCGGCCATCATCATTATCACTGCTCATCATCATCCCCATTTTCATCCAGCATCATCATCCAGCATCATCCAGCGTCATCCAGCATCATCATCATCATCATCATCATCATCATCATCATCATCATCATCATCATCTTCATCCATCAACATCGACATCAAACATAGAGGGGACAACCCACTGCGACTGGCTGTAGAAAACCAAAGAACCAGCAAATCCGTTGAGTGCCCAAGCTCAATGGTCACGTGGCATAACACAAACGCAAGACCCACACGACAATCTGGCACTTCCGGTCATTGTTTCCAAGGCTTGGGCGCGCCGCAGCTGGCTGCGGTAGCCGCGCTGCCTTGGACGGCGCTCTCAAGCCGCGTCAGCTCCGACCGCGCCTTCATCTCTACTTTCGCGGCAGAGGAGGCAAGCCGATTTTCATGGCAAACCCGGTTGTCATGCAATGGCATTGTTTCAAGCTTGCGCCAGCTGCAGCCAATCTGCGTGACTTCGTACATCGACCCGGGATACTCCATCATCAGCACCCATGGACAAGGGATGATTCATGCGAGCTAGCAATTTAGAAACAAGAAGAAACACACTCTAACACTCAGGCTTTTTGCCCCCCCCCCCATCCTTTCCATTTCCTTCCTCCACGCACCCCTCCTCCCAGGCATCGTGGAAAGCTCAGCCCCTCAAAGAAGCTAGAACTCCCGCTAGCAGGGGTAGCTTTCGTGATCAGGGGGTCCCCTCCGCAAGTGGTCTCATTCCTCACTCAACCTAGGGACATCCACTATTTGTAAACAGTTGTTGCTTCATCCTCGGGCCAACATTTTCTTCCAAAGTTACAACCAGTTATCTCCAGTTAGCTAAAACAGTTAAAACAGCTAAAACAGATAGTTTTTCGCTTTCATCCGTCTCAAAAAATAACTGTTTTTACTGTCCACATAACTGGTATCACTGCGTCAACTGGTATAACTACTAACGAACCCTTATAGTGGTCTCTTTTCTGCCAGTAATCATACAGCTGCCCTGGGGAAACACCAGCGATGACCTTCAAAAGCACATCGTATGGCTCAGCCCGCCAGTGGGTCAAGAGCACGCGAACTCGTCGGTGAGCCACCACGGCCATGTTGTCCAGAGGGCCTCGGTCAGCTGGAGTGTTGGACTCGTCGTGGAAGGGGCAGCGACGTTTCTTCCTAGAGGGCGCGCGGGAGCATGGAGTGGCGCAGAACACCAAGGCCGCGCAGTGACTGAGCTCCGCGCACTTGCCCACAGATTCTACCACTCAGCTTCAAGTTGCCATCCACAACCACCCGCGTAAGATCTTCTCCACACGCACGAGCAAAGCTGACGCGCCGAGAGAACATGAACTCCCTGTGCCACACGGCTTCTCCCAGAGACTTCGCGAAGGGGGCGAGCAGGTTGATGCCAGGCACCGCAATCCCCGCGTCACGGGCTTGCTGCGCACGAGTGACTTCCGTCCTAGCTGTTAAAAGTTTCCCTGATGACTGTTGGGGCGTTTAATGACTTTAGCTGCTATATGCCCCCTATTGTCGTTAAATGTCCCCAGGTCACTTAATTGGGCGGCCAAAGCAACTTCCTCTAAAGATGTTGCATCTTCTCGCAGCTGGGCGACATGTAGCCCTGTCTATGACTTCTGAGCGTCGAAGCTTCAGGGATAAACAGCGTGAAGCATGCTGGGCACTATATACTGCATCTAAATCTTCTTCTAGCAGCGCATTTCTACAATGTTTCGCGTGATTCGGGTTGCCACGAACATTGACGTGACCACCTGTCGCCAGGCATGTCACATGTTGTCACGCATGCATTTGAACGTTGACCACCCACAACGTTCTATGTATGTTCTTGGCCACCCATGTCGCATGTTCACAGCTTGACCACGCATGTTGCCACTCATGTTTGCCACTCATGCTTGCCACTCACGTTGATGCTTGATGCTTGTTCACTCATGTTGTGACTCGTGCCTGGTCGGCTTGCGAGTTTTGGCTCTGTGCATGCATGCGGGCGCTCGGCCTCTCGCGCGCCGTTCGCTCAGCTGCTCAGTCGAGGTGCGACTCGTGCGCTTGCGCCTTGCAGCTCGGGCTTAAGCGCACGGTGGCTCGCGACTGAGCCTCCGCTCAAAGGACGACGTCGGCGTTAAAGTTGTTCGTTAAGTTGCAGAAGGGGCTGTGCAGGTAAACCGTGGCAAGCCCTTAACCTATACTGCGCTACAAGGGACCATTCGCCAGCACAGCCACGCGCGGAACAGCTTCACACGAGCTTTGTCGGGCACCAGGTGAGCCACGTCTTGCGCAATGGCCTCTGCGTTGTGCGCCGCAGCTTCTCCGGTAAAAGAAGCAAAGTGGAACCTCGAGAGCGGGTTGACATTGGGCTGTGATGGGCCTAATTTCACAACGCGTTGCCTACCAAAGGGGTCAAACGGAAAAACAAGCTCAGCCCCCTCCAGGGACACATACGGACACCAAGCCGCGCAATCCTGCGGCTCATCTGTCGCAGCCATGCAACACCCACACACCAGCGAGCATCCAGAAAGAACCATTCCATGCACTCATCTGCACGCCACTCCCACATGTGACTTCCACGGCTCACAGACAAGTAGTTGTGCCACAAGACTTTCCCATCACGGGCGCTTGAGCTGCCTATGTCCGCAGAAGAGGCTGAATCCTCTTGGAGGTTCACTGCCAGGACCCTCTTCTGCCGCTGGTACTTTGCCTTGTTGTGCGCTTGCCGCTTCTCCCGCCTTTGGAGAGCCACCAGCAATGCTCGACGGCTAAACTGCACAGTGTCACAACCAGAGATTTCCTTTAATTGTCCTGCGTGTGTCTCACTACGGCCTCGGATGCCTCAGGAACTGCTCCACAGATGTTGAACAGGCCAGTTCCCATCGTCGCCACTATGTCTGAGAAAGCCTTCACAAGGCTCCTGTTGCCCAAGGAGCCGCCTTCTCTGCGAGGAGTGCAGCTCAGGTCATGCGGGCTAAAACCCCAGATTGAGTTGATGTGCCAGGTCTCACCTTTCTTCGCACCTTGCGCCGAGATCGACACCCGGTAACCGACCCGAATGTGATAGAAGGCACTGTCAGTGTCTGCCTCCACATCTTCACTGACCTTGGCAAAAAGGTCTTTGTTGCCGAGAACGCCTGTTGCTCCCTTGGTCCACACCTCGTGGGCATATTGCGTAAGTGCTATTCCCAAGGAGTCACCGTTGGCTTTCGCAAGGAGGTACGTTGCATCGGCCTCACCCTTCGTTTTCGGGTCCAACCCAGCAAGCTCTGCCATTTTTCTTTGTTTCGTTCATAAGGCTTCTCTTTGTCTCACCTGTCTCACTTCACCAGTATATCCGATGTACATTTGGTTTCGTGACCGATGGCAATTGCCCCAAGGAGCGCAGGTGACAAAAAATCACTACGGCCTCGGATGCCGGCGGTTCGACCAACCAGCACAAGTCCTTATGCACAGAACGGCTTTGGCGGGTTGCCTGCAAAGGGATGGACAAAGCAGAAGGAGGTAAAGACATAGGGAGCAACACGCCGTTTGCTGTTGGCGGATATACGCATTACACACACTTTGGTCACAATAGCGCGCTTGCCAAATGCTATCTTTTGTTTATAGTCGCACAAATTCTTGGCCATATAGCTCAAGAGCTCCGCCGGAATGGAGTTCCGCCAGCGGAAGCAGAACGCCGGGCGCAGCTTAGCCCACTGGTGCCCGGCGCCAAGGTGGAGCAGTTCCGAGCTTGCGCAGCAAGTGCCGTAGGAGGACAGGCTGTTCCCCCTGCGCTTGTCCGCAGGGTTTCGGACTTTAGCGGGCGGGGGGGAGGCCGGGGGGAAAAAATGGCCACGTACGATGCGGCTATTCTAAGACGTTCTTTTCGTAGACGCTTTGATGTTGTGGAGGAGCTGCTGAGGATGCCGGACAAAACGGGCACAAAGGGTCAAATAAAAACCTCGAACTCTTAACGGCGGAAAATCTGAAAAAGCTAAAGGGCTTAAAATCTGAAACTCTGCATGGCCCAACGTGTTAAGACATTGATAGCTTAAAGTCTGAACATCTTAACGGCTTAAACTATTAACATCTTAATGGCTTCAAACCGCAGAATCTTAATGGAGTAAAATCTTAGAGTCTTAGTGGCTTAACGTGTCAGAATATTTATTCATGGCTTAAAGTCTAACATCTGAATGGTTTTAATCTTAAGGGCTTTAAATCTTACAATCTTAATGTTACTGCCTCAAATTCTGAAAACTGGAATGACTGAACAGCTTATAATCTTAGTGGCTTCGCGTGATAAAATATGAACGGCTTAAACTATTCTAATAGTACTTGCTGAAAACCTAAAAACCAAATTGGATAACACTCTGGAAATTCGAATGGCTTAAATTTTGTGAATATGAGTGGCTTAACATGTTAACATATTATGGCTTTAAGTCTGTAAAATAGTAATGGCGTACAATATTGAAATCTTAAGGGCTTCGAACATTATATTAATGGAATGTGGTAAAATCTCAAATCTTAGTGGCTTAACGTGTTAAATCTGAATGGCTTAAAGTTTTAACATCTCAATGGCTTGGATAATTCCAATGGGGAAATCCTCAAGGGAAATTTCTATGGGACCATTCCAAAGGGACGCATGTAAGAAAGCAGGCCTGTGATGTCGGCGGAGGCGTTGAAGTATACATGTACATGTATGGATGTGGGGCAAGTGTTCAAAGAAAAACACGGAAAGCTCAAACGTACAGTATGTATGTGTGAAGAAATATATATATATATACATATGTATAGAGAGATTCTGTCTTTTGGGGGAAGCCTGCCTTTTGGGTTTAGGGAAACAAAAGGGAAGACCAGAGTGGAGTGAAGAACCCATAAAACCATAGCAACATGTGACATTAGCATTTACCGCCATGCCAAGGACCTACCCCGAGGCCTTGATATTTGTTTGCGAGATATTTAAAAGGAAGCCAAGTAGGATATCATTAGATTCCCTGTTGGTTTGAACCAGTTCGCATATCGACACAGTTGGAGGTCGCACTATCCCCTTCAGCCGAGTCTCAGCAAGATGAGCACGGCGGCCTCTCTCAGCGACGTCACATCCAGTCCTGGTGGGAAATATCCCGGCGCGCACGAGAAGGAGATGGGTCTGACCCCTACAACTTGGGTGGCCTTCTTGGGCCAAGTTTTGTGGGCGCCCCTATCGTGTTGAACATCTAGAAACCCTCGCGCTTCCATTGGTTGCCCCGACTCATCAGGGGGGAAACAAAAGAAGCAAGTTCCAAATAGGGGGAACCCCAAGAATGCGCAGAGTCCTTTGGGTTCCCCTTTTCACCAACTCCAAAGAAACAATGTTGACTGGGAGGTTCCTTGCAGTGGGAATTCCTTTGCAGGGAACCCCCGCTGAAATAATATCCTGTTTGCCAAAAACTTGGAAGTGGACACCTTTTCAAGAGGATGCCAGTCTTCCCGGACCACCTGTCAGTTTCCATTGTTGGAAAGAGGGTAACAGGGGGTTTGTAAACCAGAGGTTCACATTGCCAACATATAACGTACAGAGCCATGAGATACAACCAATTCTGGCACCCGTGTCATGACCCCTTCAAAGGACCCTTCCAATATTGCTTTCCATCAAGAGGCGTTCGGGGGTGTCGGGCCTTTCGGGTGGAAAACAACGAATTCGCCACACAACAGGAACTACACGTAGGCACCGTTTGCCTCTTCCACTTCCTCTCAGAAACAAACCCGGCTGTCCAAAGAGGCAACCGAAAGGATCAGGACTGATGAAGGCTAAGTCACCTCCCACAAACAGCCTGAAGAGCCATCCCGAAGAGTCAAGCACAAAAAGCCTCTTCAGGTTTGGGTACCTGGAGTCTCCGTGAATTGGGAGCATGACCCCTTTCCTTTGGGTAACGACTTCATTCTTTGAGGGTCCAAAGGAGACTCGACCTTTTACCCCTTGGGGAGGCCTTGAAGGGAAACCAAAAGGCAACGGAAGCCCATTGGGGTTACCATAGTTTGATACCTCTATCTGCAATTTCCACGGTTGGCCTTTCCAAACAACAGGGGGCCGGGTTGGGGTTTGGGGAGGGGGAGTTGAATGTCTTTATGGTTGTGCATTTGTGTTGAGGGTACACTCTTGCGGGTAACCTCAATGCGGGCACCAAAAAGGAAGCCAATCATTCAACCTACAAGTTGTGCACTTGCAAAACCTGAGCGCAGAATTGGACCCCCAAGCAGAGGCTCTACATCATGCGTGATTGGTGGGAAGTGCTCGAAACCCATTTCAGAGAAGGCAGATCTGAGGGACCACCCTCAAGTTGGACTGGTCCAAATTATCCACCCCGAATTGGCCCAGTGGACCCTGCACCCATCCATTTGCCCATGGCAACCTGCAAGTGGATCCATGTGTCCAAGGCAAGTGTTTGATGACTTACAACCTCCCAGAAATTCTGTTGTAGAGGCAATCCAAGGGCCCCTCCTTTAAAACCATAAGGAAAAATGGCTGACTGCCCGCTATGGACGGCGAAATGAATGGGATCCGCCGGGAGGGTAACAGAACTGCACCAAAACAAGGATCACTGGAAAGTCCCATCCATTCCCCCTTCAAGACCCGGAACTTGGTCGCGGCTTGCCTGAGGGTGTCCAAGAATTGCCCTGTTCTCGAGGCCACTTTCCCGGATTCGTTCCCCTGTATCTTGGCCCATGATCTGGGGTACACAGAAAACAATAGTTTCAGAGTCTGCCCGACTCCCTCTGCATGTTCCATTTGCTTGTTTTGGTTTAGTCTGCCCCAAAAGGCGGCGCCAGTTTTGGGCGAGGAACCAGCTGCCCGAAACGCAACTGCTTCTCTTGGTCAGTCTGTTGAAGTGGTTTGATCAAACTGAAGTCTCAAAATATGATCCACTATGATCCCCTGCAACAGCCAAGTGTGCTGCTAGTTAGTCGGAAAACTTTCCTTTACTAGACACTTGAAAGCAAATTTTGGTCAAACCAACAAGGAGATTGGTAGAACACACGGCCCGGGTGGATCCCAGCTTCCACCAAAGCCGGTAGCCAGCCATTATCCCGTTGGCTTGCAGAAGGCGAGCCCCCTTGGTTGCCTGTCATACATTTAGCATCAAATCGCTGGGAGGCGTGTAAATATATGTATGCATATTATAGATGTATATGCACATACATTCACATACATGTCTTACATGAGTATACCCGCATATACATATATATATATATATATACATATGGTCCCATATATATATATATACACGTATCTATGCTATGCGTATATTTATAGACCCCCGTCCTTCGCCGGAAGAGCCGGCAGTGATGGAGAAGACTTCCAAGGCCAAGGCCGGCGAACTGGCCGGCAGCTGCCGGAACAGAGCCTCGGCTCTCGATTCGATGCTCGGATATCACCTATTTTAGGGTTCCCCGATTTGGAGAAATACCCCGTCCTCCAGCAAACCTAATTGGCCTTACCAAGCCCATCCTACGTGCCACTGCAATCACCGGCAAATTACTTTGCACGTGAGGGAGTTTCATGTTACGCAAACACTATGATTGATGATCTTGGGGTTGTGAGGCACAAGTAAAACAAATTCATGACCGAACACAAACAACTGTGTCAACTAGCAGACCAGTCTTCGCACATAAGAGAAACCCGGTTGATTGATAGTCCCCTTGGCACATTGAATCAGTCCAAACATTCAAAGTTACCCACCAAACCACCAAGTGATATGTAAATCGGCTGTAACGGTCGTTCCTTTGAAGGCACTCACGAGTGGCTAACCAACGAGTTGATGCTTAAACTGGCTTCTCTGAGGGGCGAGATAAATACACGCATGGATTCATCTGGCTTTCAAACATCCCACACTCCTGTTCCCAGTAGTTGCGCCTGTTTTGGAGAACGCAACCTTCAAATGTCTCTTCTATGATAATTTAATCCTCTCTTAGGTTTTAGGTGGTCACAACTGCCCCGATGAAAAATGTGTCTAAGTGTTTGCATATTTCTTGTGGGGTCCACAACCACCCTGGCAAACTCCAAGCAAACGGGAGTATTGACCAAGGAAGGTACGAGGTTCAGTCCAACTGTCCTGCTAACTGAAGGTCATCATTTGTACCAATTAACAAATTAGCGCTTGCTAACTCAACAAGCAGGCTGAGGGGTGTGAACGTTCGCCTGGGCCAATTATACCAGTGTGAATCCTTCCAGCCTCAATGTGGAGCGGTTCAAACATCAAGGGATCACACAAAGGGGTTGCTCGGGAAGAAACAATGCACCACACATTCTGAGAACCCAGCTGCAAGGCTTTGACGAAATTAGCCGAAGCCCAATTTTTACATGTAGAGTTTCTTGTGGCAAATGTCTGCGCCATTTCCCGATTTCCGAGTTCTGCTCCCCAAGCCGGGCAACCTTCTACTCACCTCCAGTTCCCTTGGCTTTGCCTGCGGGATCTAAACCTTTGAAGGTCAAGCAACCGAAGACACCGCGCTCATGACTGCGATGTCCCCTCGAATTGGTAAGCATCGAACCAAGGGATATGAGCAACGGGTACGTACTACAACAGAGCAACCTAACGTGCACCCATCTAGTATAACATGTATGTATATATATAATATATATATATATACATATGTATATCATTTGCATATCCCCGTATAGTCTCTTCTAAAGGAGTGCATCCCCGGTTACACTAAAACATCTGCGATTATGCAGTCAAACCATTTAACATTTGGAGCAAGTCGCGATAGCCTCTGTCAAAGGGCTTGTCCTTGGCTTATTTATCCTGAGCTGCCCCCCTCAATAATTGGCCTCCCAGATACATGAAGCCATTGCTTCTGGCCGACTGACAAACCAACAAAGAAGGGCTTATCAACGTTTGGCGTGCGACCAACCAGCAAAGAACAGCGTTGGAAGCCAACTTACCCGGCCTCAGGACCCGTGCAAAAACGGCACATCCAGGATTTGTACCGCTCAGCCACGGATGGGCCAATGGGCCTCCGGGCTGCTTGGGCCAAATCTAGCAACGCCGTTGGCAGCTTGTAGACCGCGCAGGCCCTCAGCAGCTCAACCTCTGGTGGCCAGTCGTTCGAGAGGCGCAGCCAGTCAAATGGTCATTGGTGTTGGGATCTGTTGCTTCTTTCGTACGATGGAAACCAAAAGGAAACCGAAATCCATTTTGGGGGTCCCCCAATTTTGACACATACCCAGTGTGTGTGGATTGAGGGTGCCGGTTTTGGGCACCCTCTAAGGCAACCAAAACTAAAACCACCATATAGCACGGAAACCTGTGCGTCGATCTCCTTTGGATTCGGAATTGTCTTGGACCCGACCCCCTTCAGGGCCTCGATGTTTTTAGATTCTAGCAAGGGGCCCAAAAGGCAAACCGCCTCCACCTTTTAACTTTTGCCCTGTGGCTCCAACGGGTGTCGTGTGTGCTTGGCGTCTTGGGGCATTTGCAACTCCGGATTCTTTAGGATTTTAACGAGGAGGGCTCCAAAAAGCTCTAAGCAGGGCTCTGCCAAAGAGGAATTTAGGCAGGTTTGGGATTGCGGCTGACCCTGCGATTGATCCCTGAATATTGCAAGTATCCGAATCCAAACACCGACCATGCTGGTTGACAAATTTGTTTCTCTCCGACGGACGACTCTACCCTTCAAATTGGTTGGGTTCACTTGGTTTCCTTAAAAAGCCAACCAAAAGGGGGTTCCCAGAAGAAGCCCACACGCCTTGTGGGAAACTTACGTATTTGGAACACCCAACGGTCAAAAGGCCTGCTTTGGGCAAGCCAAAAATGAGTTCAAAGAGGTTCCCAAATGGTTGGGGAACCCGCTCGCAGGTCAGATTTTCACACAGAACTCGGAGAAACCCGAGTGGCGGTTGCCGCATCGCATCTGCCCTTCAATAAGCTTTTCTGGCAGCTCAGACGATAGTGCTGACAGCACGCCAGCGCCAACATAGTGAGCTTTCTAGGAGGAAGCCGCGTGAGGAAGGGTTTGGGACGGGCGTGCAATGATAGCACCCTTACAACAAGGTATAGTTAACTGTTTTCTTCTGATAAACCAGCTACTGGAAATTCTACAGGCATCCTTTGCTTCTAGTGAGTATTTGGCAAAGTGTGTGTCGAAGTTCCCGTAGCTGGTTTCTGTGATTTTGGAGAAGGTCCCAACCGAAACCTTTTGCCTTTTGGGCATCCTATACCACTCTTCCTGTGCCATTTGGTGGGGTTTAACTGGGCGATGCGTGAGCCATGCCGTCCTCTTACTGCAATGAATACTGGCAAATATTGACCATTGCTAATATCTATCAACCCCCCGCCTCCCAAAAAAATGTGTGGCAAACCTGCAGTTGTATCTTAAGGGAAGGAACTCCAAAGCGATTTCAGTCCCGCAAAAAGAGAAACACGGGGCGCCTATTCCGCTTGTAGCCCAGAGGTGGCCTTGTCTCAAATCGACCCACACGCGAGATCTGTTGACACTTTGGTGCTCTCAGCATACTTCACAAGGTTAACTTGTTCAATAGGTTCTTCAGTGGCTTGTTGCTCCCTTGCTAGCCAAGTTAGCTGGGATATGTCGTCTATGTCACGCATAAAGTCTGAAGGAGTGGCTGGGAACCGCAACAAGCACCTTGGGGCTTCGTGAGAACTTGTCACTCCCGGAGACGCCATCTGGGATTTGCATAAGTCTGGTGAACATCAAAGAGATGGGGATGTCCACCAACTATTTGGGAGTTCCACAATCCCTGACAATTCGTTGCCAGGCGGGTCTCAATATACTATTTGGGAATTCCGAAATTCCTGACAATGCGTTGCCTGGGTCTTAAAACTGGGGGGTTCCTTTAAGCCAACCCCAAAGGAGGGTAGCCGCAACGCAACGACAGACCCCGAGCCCCGGGCCATCTTGGGCACCTCTGTGGCGAAGGAGCAGTGCCTCGGTCGGGGGAGCTTCCCCATGCCACGAACAGGGGCAACTCCCCTTGGACTCGCAAGGGGGTCACCAACCGAGCTGGGTAACCGCTTTGTTAACTTGGCCGGACATCCAAGAAGAATCACACATGCCTGAAGTGCCACCACAAAAAAGAAAAGTACTTGCCTGTTAGACAGCTATGCTTATTGCCCTGTGAGACTGACAAGAAGACATATGAGAGCAACGGTATTACGGTTCATGCAATGGAAAACTGGCTCAGGAAAATGGGGCACGCCGTGCCCACGGAAAGTAACTCAAAACCCCGTGGGACCAACTGTTTGATTGATTGGCTTCAAGCCAAGATTTCACCGGGAAAACTTATACAAGGTGCACAGGAAAAGGTAGATCCATCAAATTAGGAGTACGTAACAGGTGAATGAGGGGAACATGAGAGTAAATAAGGGAGTAAATGAGAGTAAATAAGAAAGTAAATGAGAGATAAATGAGAGTAACATATGTCCTTGAAATGCTCAATTGTGCAATCAAGTACTGACATTGCATTTGTAGCAGTATCTACAGAATAAAAAACGTGACAAAGCGCCGTTGAACTTGTTACACATCCCATTTCCTAAGGCTTCGGAAACAATCACCGGGGCACCTTCCAGCCTCACGCGGTTGTCATTCCGACGCTCTCGATGTGGTATTTTTCCAGGGCCCGCCTTCTCAGGCTCGGTCGTACAGGCTTTCCATTGGAGAGTCCATTGGAGAGGTGGGTCTGTGTCCCCGGTCGTGAGCCCAATGTGCCAACCCGTGACTGCTGCATGCTCGTGCTGGTTTAAAGTTGTTGGACCAGTTGATTCGCCCGAAGGCCCAAACTGGTTTCAATCAATCACTCTCTATCGCTCTCTCCAAGTGCAGTTGACAGTTGAGAGGGGTTTTGATCCACCTCTGAAAAAAAGGGCCCCCAGTGATTGGAACAATTAAGGAAAAAGCCGAACCCAAACCGACAAACTAATCACAAAAGCGCGACGATGCATACAGCACTAACTGGCACAAGTAAAACATCAATATATTCCATACCTTTCAAACAAAACAGAGGATACTAAACTAAGCAACACACACAACAATGCAACACCAAACCAAACAAAACAAAACAGCTTCGCTCCGCTGGGGCGTCCATTTGATGGCTCTGGGGGTCCTGCACCAGGCCGGTGTACAGGAACTGCAGGACAGTCCTAGCGCCATGTAACAAGAACTTGTAAGGACAAGTTCTGGTGGCCTTGCCTGAACCTTCAAAGTACTCAAAATGTCTAGGGTATAAAGAAATTGCTGTGATAGTGCTTTAGGTAGCTTGAGTTGCACATCCCATGCTGTGGGACAGCTTGACCCAGGTAGTATTGTTTCTGCTGAGACTTGCCTGTCAGAAAACCCAAGTCGGCCACGGACAGCGCTGTGTTGCAATCAGCCAATCCCTGCGCAGTCGATTGCCATGTTAATGGTATATTATACCACCCAGGGTTTAAATATTTCATCCAAAAACCATCTGTTTTATAAACAGGTCCTTAACTTATAGTGGTGTTAAAACTTGGCCAATGTATCCTTTGAGGGCCCCTTTGAGTGTGCTCAAATATTGACTGTCGGGCCAGGCGGCTGCAGAAGTTCCCGTCTGATCTCCCAAGGCAATGAACCGCTTGCTTTCTTTTGCCTAAGGTACCATCTGTCATTATGTTCATTTGCCTTTACCACTAGCACACCTTCGCATCCTCCGGAAATCCGCTTTGGCCGGGCGTTGGAGGTGTCGCTGGCGAACGTCCAATACCTCCAAAACCTGAATTAAGGGACCTCCAAGTAAAGGACCTACTTTACGGAAAACTCATTTTGCCCCATTTGAGCTCGCCATTGAAAAACATGGCTTGAAAAGCACACTAATTCGAGGATGACTGCAAAGGAAAACCAAACGGACACCAAAAGGATGGTTGCATAAAAATGGGAAAAAACTACCCTAAACCAAATGGAACATATTCCCAATTTTGGGGCAATATCTTTCAACATGCCCTAAGAAACAGGACATCACTTGTCATGTTGCGGCAATGCGGCATAATGATTTAATGGTACCCTATTAGCTTATTGGCATGACTAAGGTTGATGTCTAATGTCCCTCACCAGCTGTTTCCGTTCCGAGCGCTCCTCCAAACCTCCTTGGAGATGCGGCGGTCCACAGCGAAGACACTTGCTTTGATGCCTTCCTGTCGCCACTGGCTTTCAGAGCTCCAAAGACCTCTGGTGATTGCTTGGCCCAAATCTGGGTATCTGGGGTAATCCAAAAATATACTGTGTCCGAACAGGTACGATAGTTCCTCTAGTGTATGTAAGCTAACCAAACGGCACCACACAAGCAAGCGATAACTCTTTTATCCAAGCAATGTGTTGGTGCCAGGGACTCATCTTCCCCTGTCAGATGTCTACGGCTGGGTGGGTTTATGGGCCACCCACCACAAACTCTCCAAAACTGAAGACCGGGTGTGCAGACTGATAGCGCCCGCCCCTGGGCCGGGGCCAGGGGCACCCAGGCCACAGGGGGGTCTGCCACCAGGGGAAGTGAGTCACCCACCGGCTCCGGTCACGGGAGCATGGGTGGGCCCACGCTAAGATCAAATGCATCTCCACGGTGTAGGGCTTCTTGGATCCAAGGTTGAGCATCGCCATGACGTTGCCCTGATTGTCACTGCCCACCGGGAGTCGGACCCGGGAGGACAGAGGGCCTTGGTGCGTGAGGATCATGTTACAGAGGAAGAGCGTGCCCAGCATTTCCAGAGCCGCAATCCTCCGCTTGGGATCCCCATTCTTGAATGCCCACGGGTACTCCTCCACGTGGATCTGCTCGTGGAACCAGTACACCTCCTTCTTCTCCGGCTCCACTTTGTTGGAGCACCAGCCTCCCACAAATGCCAGTCCTTCATCCGAGGCGCTAGCATCGCTGCAACCCCACCAAGAAAACTTCGGCAAGTAAGGGGAGTACTGGACGAAGGGCATGTTGAAGAGGAACCGCAGCATGAACGCCAGCATCCTGACCACCTTAGGGGGTTTCCCCACCGTGGTGGTGGCCATTTTCCAGGCCCACAGTGGCTGAAGCATCGACTTCGCCAGCGGACATGCAGCAGTTGCCCATTGGATGCGGCCCAGGGCCTTCTCGATGTCCTTTGAGTGCATCGCCTGCCCTTCCACCATGATCTGCAAGACCTCCATCACCAGGATGTGTTTGTTGGCGGCCATGAGAACCTGCGGGATGTTCGGGTGGACCACGAAGCCCAGCCACGTGTTGACCTCCGCCAAATGTGTCTTCTTCCAGCTAAGCGGGGTGCCCAAGGCCAGGAGTGTTGCCAACAGCGCCACCGCCAAGTTCACTGCCCCCTCGCTGCGAAGCAGCCACAGGAAGTCATCCACAAAGACGAAGTTCCAATCCACTTGAGGGAAAAGTGCGTAGAGGACCCTGAGTAGAAGGGCTGCCAGGCGTCCCCAGTAGGATTGGGCACTGGCCATGCCGTATGTGCCTACCTTGTTCACCCACCATTCTTCCCCCAGTGAGGCCACCTGGAACCGCCAGTCCTTCCTGACTACCTTCACTCTCCGGTGGGCCTTGGTGACGTCCGCCTTGAGCAGCACCCACCTGGTGCCCGGCTCCGGCCATTGCCAGCCCTCGGGTGGAGGTTTAGCGAACTCCCTCTCGGGGCCCTGAGAGGGAGGTCCCTCCTCAGCTGCCGCATGTAGCCAATGAAGAGCTTGTACCCCATCCAGCACCGTCGGAGCCGTCGTCCTTTCCACCGTCTGGTTCCTGATGGCGTCATTGGCCCCGCCCACCGAGCCATCGTAGATGGTGCGGATCTTGTCCCCTTCGTCGATGCCCGCTAGGGGGCCTGGGCAAAGATCCTCCATATTGCAGCCACAGCGCGCTGCTGCCTCTACCTTGGTGAGAGGGCCATCTACCATGTTTTAGCTCCTTCTTGAGTGGCCAGATGCCCGGCGAGACTAGGGGTGGGTCCGTGACCCCCAGTGGGACCCCTTGTTCCAGATCCCGAGGAAACTGGTGGTCGGGGTCCTGAATGTTTATTGTCAGGCTGTGCAAGATGTCCAGGAAGAAGGGTTGGCCTTCCGCTGGTCGGCCTGCCCCTGGTGCCAGGATCTCCCTGATATCTTCCAGCAGGTCCTCCGGGAAGGGGTGTGACCCGTCCCCCAACGAGAGCGACTCCTGGAGTTTGTCCCCCCATGGCGACGTGAGGACACAGATCTTGGCCCCCAGCGCTGCTGCTTGGGACAATGGCCGAGTCCACGGGGCCAGCCGTCCAAGTGAGGGCTTCCCACCCCCGTCCCTGAGGGGGCGCTGTTTGAAGGCCATCTGGAGGTACATAACCTTGTCGGAGAGATTTGGGTCGTGCGTGATCGGCAGGGTGGTGGGCCGATCCGAGATCTCCATGCAATGGCGTGCCCATGGCTGAAGGGGAAGAGTTTCACCCCGTAGTTCGACCTCCCTGCCCGCCGGCTGTGTTGGTGTCCGGACCTCAGGATTGTCTGAGGCCGAGACCGGACGTGAGCCCAAGGTTAGTCCCGCCAACGCTTGTTGGCCGGCCTTCAGCCTCCGGGACTGGCGCTTGTTGTCCCCCGGCGTGTGGGGAGATGGTTCCCTCTGCCGCCTCGGGGGGGGTCGTTGGGTTCACTTGGGGCACCGTGCCCCCCGGCCTCAGCGCCTCCAGGACGGGTCCCGCTCTGCAGAGGATGGCCGCTGCGAGACCCTGCATCATCTGCTCTGGGTACCGGCTGAGGTCACTGGAGTTGAGCTTTTCCCCCTGGGGTGAGCTCCGTGGTTGCATCGCAGATCATGCCAATGGTGAAGGGGAAGGTCCGTTGACAATGTCGTGGACTTCACCACCACCTGGCCCAGGCGGCACTCGTCAAACTTGATGAGGGAGTGGTGGAGTGCGTTCGCCCATTGAATATAGGCCCGTGTGACCCAGATCGATGAGCACCTCGCTGCGCTCGGGCTCTTGCTGCACTCCATTGGGTCCATCGGGTGCTCCAGGAAGGAGGAGCCCACCTGCGGGACCGTTCGTTGACCTAGTCCTTGGTAGGCCAGCGAGAGCTGTCGGAGCATGAGCACGCTGTCGTTGTCCGTGTCCTCCCTTACCCGGGGCTCCAGGTCCTCCAAGCCCCACAGGGTCTGCTCCGCCCTGCCCCTCACCGGCGGCGGGCCTCCCGGTTTGGGGAACCATCTGAGAATGCTCCACGTTCTGCAGTTGGGGCCGCCCCCCACAAAGGCGACCTTGCCCGCCATGGCCATGGAGCACATTGTAGAGTATGGCTCGTCTCCCAGCATGTCATGTCCAAGATCGCCACCCTTTCGCCTAACGTCCACTGCCCAAATGTACTCCGAGAAGGCCGGGTTGTAGGCATGGAGGTAGGCATCCAGGGCCCCCGCCTCGTCCTTCCCAGCGTACAGCAGGATGAGGGTCGGCTTCGACGACTCCGGCACCGGTCGTGGCGTCCACCTTAGTCTGGACCTCAGTCTTTCCGGGGTGTCTTGCATCCAGGGGAAGGTGGGGCTTGTGGGGTTTCCGTGTGTCCTTTGTCCGACCCCCTGGTCGTCTGGCAGCAAGCTTGCCCTGACGGTTCTGCCCGCCCTTGGAACGCCCCTTGCTGGGTGGATCCCCACCTCTGGGTCTCTCTGGGGGTTCTTCCCACTGCCTCGGTGGGTGCGGGGGAAAAGGGTGCTTCCGCCCTTCTGGAGTGCCCTGGCTGGATCCACTCCCTTTCTTTGGTGGAGGGGCTTCCGGGGCCGGTGGCACCCTGGAGAGGTCCCCTCCCCCACCTGCAGCCGTCCTGGCCTCCCCAACTCTGTCTGCCTTCCGCTGTGGCTCTGGTGGGATTGGCTCTCCCCCGCTGTGTGCGCTCTCGCACTGGTGGCCTGTGATCCAGCCACGGGGCCCTGAGTGGCCTCCTGTCACTTGGGGAGGTGTGGGCATGCCTGTGGCACATGCTTCGCTGGGGGGGGCATCACACACCCACCCATCCTTCCTGACCGGGCAGTTGTGGGATCGACCGCATGATCCAGGGCATTTGTTGTGAAGGTGATGATCGCTGCAGTACGCCACCCCTTTGGGATTCTTGAAAGCCCAGTGGTCTGGCCATGGGGTCGAGGAGGTGTTGGGGGACTTCCCTTTGCCGCCCTTGCCCTTCGGCTTGGAATGGGTCGGCCCCGAGGACCAAGATCCTTTTCCCCCCTTCTTGGGTTCTCCTACTGAGTCTGCCACACCTTGGGCACCTTGCTCTTGCTCTTCCCCTTCGTCGGCGCCCTGTTGAGGTGCTCATAGACCTCCCGTTGCCAGAAGAGGAAGTCGCCCCTGATGTTCTTGAGGGCTTCGGAGAGAGTGGTGCCCTGGTGCACCATCTCGTGAATCTTGCGCCATGCATTGCGCTCTGCAAACAGCAAGGTGGTGTCGCTCGGGGGAGGTTTCCTGCCGGCTATGTCCTCCCCATAGAACCAGGCATACCAGTCATCCAACTCCTCCTTGGTGACCCTCAGGTTGCCAAATTGCGGCAGTGCTGCCGTGCACATCAAAAGCGTCGTCCTGAAGGTTAGGTGCAACCGTTCCAGCTGGCGCCGAGATGTAGGGTGGCTCCTCACCTCTTCTTCATCCTCCCTGTCCCAGCCGTCCACCGTGATCTTCTTGTGGGTGGATGAAGGGCGTTCCCCTTCTTCCGGGAGCACGCTCACGATGTGTTTTGCCGGGATGTAGCCCAATTCGCCCTTGGCAATCATGCGCCATTGCTTCTTGAGGTAGCCATCACTACCCTGGAATTCCAACCTCAGCTTCGGGGCCCCATGCGTGGCCACGTAAGCATCTTCCAGCTGGCGCCTGTCACAGGACTTCTAAGGGAGCCTTTATCGGGCCCGCATGGCCCGTCACCCTGGTTGCCCCCCCTGACCAAGTTTGCTGCCACCCGTACTGCCTGAAGGAGGCGCATTGCCGTGAAGGCCGAGGTCTGGGCGTTGAATCCATTCTCTCCATCCTGGAATCCCAGGTCCCGGGGACCATTTTCCCTGGCCGCAGCCGGGGTGTTCCAGCGATCCGCCAGGTCTTCCACCGTGACGTAGCCCGATGCGCCCAGTGCCGCTTGGATGACCCAGGGGATTTCCTTGCCCACCAAGATGGCCGCCAGTGGCTTCTGCAACTTCGCCACGTCTTCCTTGATC